AGCATCCACAGCATTATTTTTAACTTGAAACATACATGCCCATTCGGAAAGTTCTTCCCTGAGCATGGTTGTAATATCTTGTTTGCTTTCAGAACTTAACAGGGCTGGATCTGAAAGTGTGTTAAGATGATCTTCCTCAATGTGCTGGTTGTGATTAAGGCTGTCACTTTCAGCAATGCTGGCCTTCTCAATTGAACTGATAGTTTCTTTGTTGTCTGCCTTCTTTTGTGCCCTTGACACTCTAGCCCAGATTTTGTTGTACTGCCTCCTACGCTCTTTGGATGTCATCAAGCTACTGTACTGGTGTCTCTGCCAATAATTCAATAAATTAAATTTTTTAGTACACTTACAGATTTGATCTGTTTTTCTCAATCTACCAGTATCAACCATATAACTTAATTTGGTACTTAACTTACCTTTGTTGAGGACATATTTGCCAGAAGCATAAAGGCTGAGAAAACAGAAATAAACATTAGTTAATATACATACATACATATATATATATATACATACATACATACATACATACATATATATATTAGTATTAGTCAAAAGTTTGGAAACATTACTATTTTTAGTGCCTTTGAAAGAAGTGTCTTATGCTCATCTAGCCTGCATTTATTTGTTCAGAAATACAGAAAAACAGTAATATTGTGAATATTATTACAATTAAAAATAATGGTTTTCTATTTTAACATGCTTTAAAATATAATGTTAATTAAAAAGTGAATTCTATTTTGAATAAATTCTGTTCTTTTAAACTTTTTTTCATCAAAGAATCCTGAAAGAATTATCACAGCATCCAATAAAAAAATATTTTTATATATATATATATATATATACATAAAATAAACAATAATAATACACTGTCTACACCCAACTATGGCCATAGGAACAAGTTCCATCCTTCTTTAATAATAATACACTGTCTACACCCAACTATGACCATAGGAACAAGTTCATGAACCACATCTTTCTTCAAACAGGTGCAGAAGTGAATTAGGTGAAGTAGTATTGTGATTTGACCCAAAAGCTACTTTCACTGTCGCGTCTATAGTTTTTAAGGTCCCCTTAAATAAGGACTTTTCAGTGTGTTTGCCTGATATTCAACACTGGAATCCGTTTTGATTAAACTCCAGTGTAATAGGTGGCGGTATGCATAGTGCTGCCCCTCAGTTACCAGGAGAACAGGAGGCTGGTCTATATCCGTCTTTGAATATGCGCACAGAATGGCTAGCAGATGCATCGCTGGAAGACAGAGAGAAAGCCCTATAAGATTTTTAGAAGTGAATTAGGTGAAGTAGTATTGTGATTTGACCCAAAAGCTACTTTCACTGTCGCGTCTATAGTTTTTAAGGTCCCCTTAAATAAGGACTTTTCAGTGTGTTTGCCCGATATTCAACACTGGAATCCGTTTTTGATTAAACTCCAGTGCAATAGGTGGCGGTATGCATAGTGCTGCCCCTCAGTTAACAGGAGAACAGGAGGCTGGTCTATATCCGTCTTTGAATATGCGCACAGAATGGCTAGCAGATGCATCGCTGGAAGACAGAGAGAAAGCCCTATAAGATTTTTCTGTAATTTAAACGTTGACGTGCTCATTGTGATTGCAGTACATGTTAGCTTTTCTGTTATTCGACAGATTGCGCATCATAAGATAGTGATTGCAATGATGTCCCTCAGGCAGCGCTGTGTAATTTAATTTATAGCTTGAAAGAATGTGACATGTATGTTTTCTATAAATGGGTTCTCTGTTAAAGCGAGGCTTGTTGTTACTCCAGATTCTCAGACTGACTATGAAACATCCTGCTTGTGAAGACACAGATGCTGAAACCCATCATAACAATGGAGGATTGTGGGCCACCATACTGACATGCGAGTCAAAATATATAATTGGCCAATTTCACAAGAATCAGAAATAATGAGACACTGAGTGATGTTAGTTACGCTATGATTCACTGGCAATTGCAGTAATATGCGCTGTTCTGAAATATTGCTTCTTACCTTTTATGTTTTTTGAAACATACATGCCCATTCGGAAAGTTCTTCCCTGAGTGTGGTTGTAATATCTTGTTCGCTTTCAGAACTTAACAGGGCTGGATCTGAAAGTATGTTAAGATGATCTTCCTCAATGTGCTGGTTGTGATTAAGGCTGTCACTTTCAGCAATGCTGGCCTTCTCAATTGAACTGATAGTTTCTTTGTTGTCTGCCTTCTTTTGTGCCCTTGACACTCTAGCCCAGATTTTGTTGTACTGCCTCCTACGCTCTTTGGATGTCATCAAGCTACTGTACTGGTGTCTCTGCCAATAATTCAATAAATTAAATTTTTTAGTACACTTACAGATTTGATCTGTTTTTCTCAATCTACCAGTATCAACCATATAACTTAATTTGGTACTTAACTTACCTTTGTTGAGGACATATTTGCCAGAAGCATAAAGGCTGAGAAAACAGAAATAAACATTAGTTAATATACATACATACATATATATATATATACATACATACATACATACATACATATATATATTAGTATTAGTCAAAAGTTTGGAAACATTACTATTTTTAGTGCCTTTGAAAGAAGTGTCTTATGCTCATCTAGCCTGCATTTATTTGTTCAGAAATACAGAAAAACAGTAATATTGTGAATATTATTACAATTAAAAATAATGGTTTTCTATTTTAATATGCTTTAAAATGTAATGTTAATTAAAAAGTGAATTCTATTTTGAATAAATTCTGTTCTTTTAAACTTTTTTTCATCAAAGAATCCTGAAAGAATTATCACAGCATCCAATAAAAAAATATTTTTATATATATATATATATATATACATAAAATAAACAATAATAATACACTGTCTACACCCAACTATGGCCATAGGAACAAGTTCACGAACCACATCCTTCTTCAAACAGGTGCAGAAGTGAATTAGGTGAATTAGTATTGTGATTTGACCCAAAAGCTACTTTCACTGTCGCGTCTATTGTTTTTGAGGTCCCCTTTAATAAGGACTTTTCAGTGTGTTTGCCTGATATTCAACACTAGAATCCGTTTTGATTAAACTCCAGTGCAACAGGTGGCGGTATGCATAGTGCTGCCCCTCAGTTACCAGGAGAACAGGAGGCTGGTCTATATCCGTCTTTGAATATGCGCACAGAATGGCTAGCAGATGCATCGCTGGAAGACAGAGAGAAAGCCCTATAAGATTTTTCTGTAATTTAAACGTTGACGTGCTCATTGTGATTGCAGTACATGTTAGCTTTTCTGTTATTCGACAGATTGCGCATCATAAGATAGTGATTGCAATGATGTCCCTCAGGCAGCGCTGTGTAATTTAATTTATAGCTTGAAAGAATGTGACATGTATGTTTTCTATAAATGGGTTCTCTGTTAAAGGGAGGCTTGTTGTTACTCCAGATTCTCAGACTGACTATGAAACATCCTGCTTGTGAAGACACAGATGCTGAAACCCATCATAACAATGGAGGATTGTGGGCCACCATACTGACATGCGAGTCAAAATATATAATTGGCCAATTTCACAAGAATCAGAAATAATGAGACACTGAGTGATGTTAGTTACGCTATGATTCACTGGCAATTGCAGTAATATGCGCTGTTCTGAAATATTGCTTCTTACCTTTTATGTTTTGTCTTTTCTCAAACTTGCTGTTATATATTCTACAAAAACATTTAAATAATAATTTTTACTTGTTTGTATCTTATACGGCCACTCAGACCATGCTTGAATTTACTGACGGGTGGTTTTATTTCACCAACTGTCCTATATGCACTTTTTTTATTTTTTAGCAATTCCCCTGCTTGTATCTCAGTAGGACAAGTATTTCTTTATATAATTTATAATTAAAATAACACAATATGCACAGTTATATAAAGGTTAGTTATTTATGCACATGCCACATTTTTAATTGTGGTGAATTTTTATCTGACAAATAGGTGTCATCTGGCTGGAAATTACACAAAAAGGTGACAAAAGAAAGTAATTTTGTTAGATTCTATTTTATTTATTAATTTTTTTATTTTTTTCATTGACAAGGCATTCCATGTTCACAGCTATTCATACTCCTTCTCAAAAGAAACAGTGTAAAAGTCTTTATTTTTATGTTTTGTCTTTTCTCAAACTTGCTGTTATATATTCTACAAAAACATTTAAATAATAATTTTTACTTGTTTGTATCTTATACGGCCACTCAGACCATGCTTGAATTTACTGACGGGTGGTTTTATTTCACCAACTGTCCTATATGCACTTTTTTTTATTTTTTAGCAATTCCCCTGCTTGTATCTCAGTAGGACAAGTATTTCTTTATATAATTTATAATTAAAATAACACAATATGCACAGTTATATAAAGGTTAGTTATTTATGCACATGCCACATTTTTAATTGTGGTGAATTTTTATCTGACAAATAGGTGTCATCTGGCTGGAAATTACACAAAAAGGTGACAAAAGAAAGTAATTTTGTTAGATTCTATTTTTTTTATTAAATTTTTTATTTTTTTCATTGACAAGGCATTCCATGTTCACAGCTATTCATACTCCTTCTCAAAAGAAACAGTGTAAAAGTCTTTATCTGTCAGCATAGCAGTTATTTTGCACATTTCCACTAGGATTTTGGACCACTCCTCTGCAAAGATTTCCAGGTCCTTGATGCTGAAAGGGTTCCTTTCCATCCGTCTGGTCTTCAGTTCTCTTCACAAATTCTCAATTGGATTCAGGATTGGACTCTG